ATGAAGCCAATTCATAGAGTTTTAAAGTACTGTCAATATTTTTAAAATTGAAACTTGAAAGAGCACACTGAACACTGCACTTCCCCCCAAAAAAACACGTCTGGCAAACGAAAGCAACAAGGCAGAGGAAGAGACCCACAGAGGGATACGTGTTCCCTTGTGACAATGGCAGTGCACATACCATGGGTACGGACAATACCGTTCTCCACTACAGGGGGCGCAGCGAGCTTCCAAGCCTGAGGTATAAGAATTAAGCGTGTGTCCAGTGTGTATAAAAGCAGTGTCCCTAACAATTAAAATTCACCACTTTTAATCAATTTCAGTTCACAGGCTTCACAGTGAAACACAGACCAGAGGACAAGTGGAAAACATATGGAAGTGCACTTAAATCACAAGAACAAGAGGCACCTTCCTAGGACAAGGTTTTCGGGAGCATGGAATATTCTGCCAAGCCCTGTTGTGGAAGCCGATTTCCTGGCTTTTCTCCAAGACCTGGCTGGATGAGATCTTTAGATCCACTAGCTACTTACTACCACAAGGGCTGGAGGGACCAACTATTAATACAGGACAAGCAAATTACTGAAGAAGGACTTATGAAGAGATCACATACATGAACGGTACATTGTTACGGTTACCCAAGTCAAGAGTCCCCATTATCTGACCCTTTATCAGTCTACTTTTTGCGTTTTCCCGCTAGTTACTGAGGACATTTAGAGCCTGGATCTGGGAAATACTGGACCCTACTCCCATTTCTTCAAAGCAGGCAGTTTAAAACAGTTGACCTCATTGCAGCACTGGACAAGAACTTAAATCCCACGCTGACAGCTATCTGACAATCAGCAAGCAGGTTCTAATCTGGACCATGTCTTACACAAGCGAAGAGCACAAGGCAGTGAAAAGGATAAAAAGCCTAGAGCACAAGGTGAACCTGTGAACCAGATCAAGCCTCAGCTTTCGAGATGCGGGTACTGGAGGGATCAGCACATCATGGTCTGGTGAATCATTCCCCGACACGGCGATCCTTCTGTAGTTGCCAAAACTGGGCACACCAGGGCTTATGAAGGCAGGATGCTCCCCTACACCCTGTGCACTTCTGGAAGCTGCAGTGAGCTCTTGGTCTAGATTCTCCTATGTCCTTTGTGAACACAGCAGGGCATCCTGGGTTCCAGCCTGTGGTTTCTTCTTGGACCACAGCCCTGTGGCAGCCCAGCAGAGAGGCACCCCTGCAGGAGGTGTGGGTCCTGTTCTCCTAAGGAGCCCTGCTGCTTAAAACCACCCCTACAGGTGAATGGGGTCTTGTGCACATCAGTGCACCCATAAACGAAAGAGAACGTCATTTCTCATCGTCACAGGGGAAAGCAGAAAGGAGCATTCTTGTTCTGCACGGGGAGATATCTGTTTAAACTTTCTGTATTACAACAGAATCCTACTGATGTTTTTTTTTTCTTTTACAAGCTGGTGCGGTTTTTGTTATTTTGTCTTCAGTGTGGGCTCTTGCATGTTGTTTATTTGCAAGTTACAGTATTGATCTGCCACTTATCTGGAGACAGGCAATGTTCGCGGGCTGGTGATGAGCATGAGTGTTTTCTGTGTCGGGTTATGGCTTCAACAAGGGGAGGGGGGACAGGAGTTTTACTCTCCTCTCATGCTGTTCTCTTTGGGGGGGGGTGGTCTTGTCCCTGTTTCCGTTGTGCTTGGGATGGGAGAGAGGAGGAGGCAGTGCTACAGTACGCTACAATGGAGACCGGGCTTTACCTTGGCCATTCCACTTTCCTACCTTATTATTTGATACACACACACACAACCCCCACTGGAATGAAAAATAAACAAACAAATTAAAACGACCATAAAAATTAATTATGACTAAGAGGCAACACCTGTGAAGTCTCAGAGGAAATTCTGAATCACTTTTAACCTTCCATTCGTATTCCAATCAGGCAGTGGGAGTGTGGGCATGATCACAGAAACGGCCAGGACAGACTACTGAGTGGTAAATGTGAAATGGGGCCTTTCACTCTTGCGTCTCTTCGCTACCAGAAATGTTCTGAATATAGGTCAAAGACAGAGTGCACCCACTGGAAATGTTATACTGTTACAAGAAAATCTAAACATCTACTGTAACGTAGCCTTTCTTGTAGTGAAAACTCCTTAAGGTAAGTTTTTCAGACAAAACAAAATACACACTTTAAACAGAACACAAAAAGTGTTGTCAATATTTAAGACTAATTACAATAAACGCCCACACAAGTTGAAAGACATTGTGCTCTGTTGTAAAAACATACCGGTATCTCATCGACCAACTTTTTACACGTCAGAAAATAAATGCCGTCAGGTAGCACCGTTTGTTTCCGGAGTCACCATCTTCCTGACTCCAATCTGATCAGCTTGAATTACACTGGGCATTTTTACCTTCTATACCCATCAAGACTCCCACAACAACGTAACCAATGCCTGCGTTATTAACACAGAGGCTCAAATGGTTTAGCAACTTATTTTGGGAATACATTTCGTCAATGCAAACTGGCGTACAGTACCCCGATGCAAACCTGTGCACTCGTCTGTTCTGTCTGACTGGAACACGAGAAGAATTTCAGACGTTTCAACAAATAAGATTCCAGTGCGCACTTCCAATATGCAACTTCATGTTATGTGGCCCAAAGTGATCTGGGTGCATGTTGTGCTTTATGATGTCTTAAATGTCTCTTTCAGGCAGAGTACAGTATCTGCACTATGTAACAATGTCTCGCTTTAACTTGCTGCTCGCACAATGTCCAAACCACAGGCCTTTCTCTAATTAATTATCTGTACAAACATTTTAATTTTCAACTGGAAAGTTGTTTCTTGTGCAGGAAAATTATTATTTTTTCCAATGTACAGTACATGCATTGTTCTAAACGCAGGCTGAAGACAAGCTGTATAAGGATTAAATACTTTTGTATCAAGGTGCAACAACAGCCGACTGGCTTCAAATGTGCTTCAAATTCTGCAAAACGCAACAGATCTCAACACAGTGACACAAATCAGCGGTTAACAACAATTTTTATTACAACATTCAAGGACACTGTGTGGTGAGAAAATACTTTCACACAAATTAGACTATATCCCCACCTCTACAAATTCATAAACTTGTCCGCACCAAGATTAAGTTGTAATAAAGTGCGTACTGCTTTGCTGATAATCTGATGTTTTAGTTTGCACATCACAAAAAAATATATATGATGTTTACATAAATCTCAAAATAAAATATTGAAATAGTTCACAAGACATGTAAAAGCAAGTGATAAACCAACAATCTGGTAATCTGTCATCGTTTTTTTTCCTCTTGAAATATAATGTTCGAAAAGCAATTAACACAAATTTGACTTTTGGACAATGGCAGACTATAACAGAAAGACCAGCCTCAGGCAGAGAAAAGATGAAAATGTCAGCACAAATGAAAACAAGGCCCAGCGAGGTACAAATCAACTCCTCTCCCCTTGTTTTACAGAATTCAAAGAAAACTCCACCCAAGAAACGAAGAAGGGGTTTGAATATTTATGAGCTTTCTTTCATCATCTTTGAACAATACAAACACATGAACGCAAATAAGCCTCAGATATCGTATACTTCTACATTTCATTAGCATTTCACCATACGGAATGTAATGAATTGCAGCCGTCTTTATAAGTAACACAGTTTACGGACCTTAGCAAATTCCTTTCCAGGGTCCCAGCCAAACGAGTGCCACAAAGCCATCAGTGTGCAAACAGTAATTAAACAGGCTGTTCTTACCTGCAGTTTCGATGTATCAGGATCTTATTTGCTCCACATTGCTTTCTGCACAGCAAAAACAGAAGCCCTTTGGGAAGAAAAATATTAAAATATTCATTGAGTTTTGAATATAATATGAACATCAAAAATGTAGTAGCACCAGAAAGTTACTCTTCTGTCCAGACAGACTCTTTTCTTCCTCCACCCCCCCCCCATCTACAACCTTTTCATTTTCACAGCCCCCAGCTTTGCCTCATTTAAACGAGCATCACCAAACACAGCGGAGTGATTCAATTTTCTTCTGAATTTACTCTTTCACACACGGGTACATTTCCTAGGAATTATCACCTTAGTCTTTATTTTAGGAACACGTACAAACAAGCCAGCAATAACCTTAATGAAAGAGGTATACATATAGGACATTTACTTCTTACTGTCAGGACTAGAAATACAGGGATATCTTATATTCAGTTGACCCATGCTAACACGAGTTTTATTAAAAATGCTGGATTTCAAATTAAAGGGCCAGGTATTGAAGTGCATGATTTTTTCCCATCATTAATCACGACCAATCGAGCTGAAGAAAGGCACAGTGGCTGAGTGGATACAGCGTGGGATGTGACATCGTGTTTTGTTTGTTCTCAAAAACTCATTTCAATCATCTCACACTGCTAAATACAGCAGCATTAAATTTTCGCATCTTAACCAACAGTGCCATACAAAAGTATGGCACGCCCTTGCACAGTGTTCATATTTTGTTGGTTTAAAACTCGCAGTCATGAGTCTTTGAGGAAGAAATGAGCATTTGTTACAGACACAACCTACTCCACACATGTAGTAGTTCAGGTGGGTAGCTGCGTCAGCATACGTAGGCTGCAAAGGAACAAGTAACAGGTTTATTCCAGAAAACACAACGTTTCGGCCGTGGAACCTTCTTCAGGTGTGAGGGTCACACCTCAGCTCACACCTGAAGAAGGCTCCACGGCCGAAACGTTGCATTTTCTTTCTTCTTCTTTTTTCAGCATGGAATAAACCTATTACTTCTTCCTACTCCACACATTCCAAGCGAAACACAGAAAGAAACTGATAAAGTGAAAGAAAAGTGTAAAAGTCACGATAAGTATTCAAACCCTCAAACGGGTCACTCATTTAGTGGAATGGCCTGTGTATAATAGCAGTGATTCTCACTATATCACAATAAAAATACTCGTCTTTGCGAGATTCTTCGGCCAGGCAGTGAACTTAATTCAAGATCCGTCATTGAAAAGTTCAGAAAAGCAGAAGGGTTAAAAAAGTATTCTCTGAATATCCCTGTGAGCACAGTCTACTCAATCATCGAGAAATAGAAGGTGTATCATACTTCCCAGACACTGCCTAGACGAGGCTGTCCCTCCACACCGAGCAGCCAGGCGAGGAGGGGACGGTTGAGGGGGGCCACAGCGAGGCCAACGACAACTCTGGAAGAGCTACAGAGTTCAATGGCAGAGATGACAGAGAATGTGCATCAGTCAATGATATCTCAGTCACTCCACAAAGCCAGCCTGTAGAAAAAAAGGCAGAGTGGAAAACACAGCTCGCCCATCTCGCATGGATCTTTCCATTTAGCACCCGAGTGATGCTGCTGAAATGTGGCAGAAAACATTGTAGTCAAATGTGACCAAACTAGAAGCTTTTGGGCTAACTGCCTGAGCAGACCCAACACTGCACATCTGTCCATCAACACCATCCCTACAGTCAAGCATGCAAGTGGCAGCATCGTGCTTCAGGGTTCCTTCTCCTCAAGGGGGACTGGAAAGCTTATTAGGGCTCAAGTTAACATGAGGAAACGATGGACAGTGTAAAGCACAGACAAATACTAGAGGCAAGCCTCTTTCAGATTGAGAACTGGGGCTAAAAATCACCTCTCAGCAGGGCGATGACCCAAAGCTACACTGGAGTGGTGGGTTATACATACAAAAGTTTTAAAAAAACCTCAGCCCTGTCAAAGTCTTGACCTGAATCCTTCTGAGCTGAGCAGATCTGCCGTGGCGAACAGGCAAAAACAAGCAGGTGGGCAAGGTTGACAGAGACTCGAAACGACTTGACAGTAATTATAACTGAAGGTGTTTCTACAACATACTGGGTTCATGGGTTTGAACACTTATGCATCAAATATTTTATTTTTTTCTCCTTTAGTTATTGTTGACATTGATTGTAATTTAATCTAAACTTAGAAGTTTTAAGTCTGAGCATTCAGGTTTTCAGTAAAACAATTTATTTTTTTAAATTAATATGCATCACATTGTAATTTGCTAAAGGTGACACCATAGGAAGGGTCTGAAAACCTCTGCAAGGCTCTCCACGTATTCAGAATTTTACAACACTCAAATTCAAACATGGTTAAAAATTCTGTAGCAAAGACACAAGGGTGCGAATCGAAACCCTTCCGTACTCCAAATGTAAGAGACAACTCAGCTGCATCTCAAAGCTTCATGTGAAACAGGCTTTGCCATTGACGGATTTAACTTAAATTACACCCTGCTGGAGGGTGTAGACCTACTTCCTGCAGCATGTTCGCTTTATAATCATAGGGAATAGTTTCAGGATAGAAACGCTGCCCAGGGCAGGATGTTAAGCAGGCCCATCACTCGGTGAGGCTAGAGGAGCTGCAGGGTGCAGGGAGCACGGAGCACAGAAGCAGGTTGTGGCAGCGTGTCGTTCCTGCTGCTCCTCTTGCTCCTCTTGCTGCTTCAGCTGCTCCAGCTGCTCCTCTTGCTGCTTCAGCTGCTCCAGCTGCTCCTGTCTGGCTTTCTCTTGGCACTCACTCAGCTAAAAACCTGCTCACTCCTTCATTACTGATTCTTCACGCTCAGCTTGCAATCTTCATCCTTGTTGATCTCTCTGCTGCTTTTGACACCATGGATCTTAACTCTCCAGTCGCTGACTGTGACCTGCTCAAAGACGCTGCTCAGACCTGGTTCTTCTCTGGCTCCACTTACTGCACCCATCCGGTCTCCATGGATATATCCTAAGACCATCTCTTAGGTCCCCCAACTATTCTAACTTTAACTCGGATGCTGCTGCTCAAATTTCAAATTTCAAATCTCTCTTCCCTTATCCCCTGCCTGTTTCACAGTCCGCTTCCCCTCCTCTCCCACTCAACATCAACACAGCTCCACGTCTAACCCCCGTTCTTCCCTTCCTCTTCCTCCATGGACCCTTGACCCCTGGGGTTTGCATGATGACTTTCCTTACAATAACAAACTCTGTGTAGACAGTACGTTAAGACGTTCCAGGTACCAACTACTGCCATGGTGTTCTGGACCATGAACACATTAAGTAAGAAACATGCTGCTTTTATTAACATACAGTGGCTTTCAAATGTTTTAGCCCCTTTCAATTCTTACACAACTAAGAAGGAGTTTTGAATTTTTCTGTGCATTTTTGCTGACATTTAACTTTTGACATTTAACTGACATTTGACATTTAACATTTAACGGCCGTCATTCATAAATGTGTTCCGTCTCAGCAATCGGTTTTTGAAAAAAAGTATTCACTTGAAGTAAAGTGGATATGCTATTCGTGATTCACTAACGTGGTATTATATCATTGTAAGGGAGTGAAAACGGTTTCAAATCAACAAAATATAGCAACTTGACATACAGGTCTTTCTTGCTGGACAGGGCTTACTCGCTTGGGAGGAACTGGGAGAGAGGCAGAGCTTTCGGGCTCTGAAGCAATCACACTTTGCTCCTTTACAACAAGGTCTCCCAGGAGGAGCTGCGCATGCACATGCCCCTTACTTATCTTGTCAGCTCGCATTTTCATCGGAGTTTTGTCAATGTCGTGCTGACAGTGTTATTACATGGCACTTGCAACCAAGTGAAAAAAATACAATCCTATTATTTGTGTATAGACTGTATGTCGAATGTAATTATTATGGTTTACGGTCGGGAGCTGATCATTCCCCCTCCTCATACCCCTTGTCAAACAGTTAGAGCATAGAATGTTGTTTTTCAGTGTAATAACTAAATGCGAAGGCGACACTGAAGTATTCTTCACAAACACGATGCACTTGAAGGTGACAGTTCATTAGGTTTTAAACGGAACAAGGCTTATCAACGACACCTTTCACACCTGTGAAATGATGTGCAATACACAATAAATCTGTATTTTCCACACAAGAGGAGGATATTTTTGACAGTGAAAAGCAAGGGGCTTACAGGTACACCGTGAAGATGATGTTCCCTCTGAGGTGAGAGCTCCCGCTCCATGCGTGTCACACTTATGTATAAGCAAAAACACTCAAATACCTTTGTGGGAACATATGTTTCCAAAGCCAAGTTGGAAATGGACAAAACGTATTGATCTTTGTTCAAACCTGCAGGTTTTTCAACCTTGCAGTGTTACAAATTTACACCAGCTGAATATTTTCTTGCTAGGTGTTCTCCTGTATCCTATGAGACAAATTAATTTGTTTTTAACAGCTTCTTACAGTACATAAGTGAATTTATTGTAAATCGCAGCACCATACGCTTGTCTTGGCGTGGAACCAGGGAAAAGAAAACAACTCTTCACCTTGAAGCACAGAAATAAACCCATGACAGTTTCCTGTCTCTGTTTCCTTGCCTGATCTTTTAGCCTCTTCTAAGCACTGAGAACTTGTTTTTCTGAGCTCTGTCCAGTGCGTCAGCGTGCCAGATCTACAGTGTACACTAATCCACAGGGGACCCGCAAGGTACACTGCTCAATTTGATTTAAGTTCACAAACACACACGACCAAGTTGAGACAATGGAACATTAGTGATAGTCTGACAAAGCAGAATTCAATAAATGCGTAAACAGAGACATTGTGAAAATTAAGAGTTATGCTGTAATATCATCTGGAAAGCACTTATCTAATTAGCAGAACAATTTTTCACACACGTGAGCATTTCTGAGCATCGGGGCCTGAAATGAAGAAGGTGAGCAGAGAGGAATAGAAAGCAGTCGTGTCTGTAATCACCTTCTGCCAATCCTAACACCCCCCAAGTCACAGAGACAGACTGGCTGTTGCACGATGAACCGCAGGGCAACTACTGCTGATCTGGCGAACAAGGCACACGATTACACCTCTGGAAATGGCTCGCTCTTCTTTATTGACGATAAAGCAGAGTGAATTATGAGGTTTGCAGACAACATTTCATCTGCTCAAGTGGAAGAAAAGCTTCCACGCTTCTTGGGCAGTGCTTCACCATGCAGCATGACAAGGAAACACACGACCATAAGACACATGGATAATGCATCCAAGGAGCTCATCTGGAGACATAAAGAGCAAAGTTTAAGACTGGGCAAGTCCATCTGCAGAAAAAGAATGCAATTGGTGATGCATTTTATGCATTACATATTACATTTATAACAAAGTTAGAACAGCCCAGGAATAGGCAAGAACTCCAAGTGGCTGCAGGAAAGCTCCTTAAATGACTTCAGGTGCATATTGACCCAAAGGGGTATGCATTTGCTTTTACACTCCAATTGCTTTTACACTCCAAAATTTAGGTCTGCTTAAAGGTCTGCTTAGGTCTGCTTTAGCCAGAAGCCATATCACTCTGCAACTCACAACTGGCAGCCCACTGAAGCTAAGCAGGTGTGAGCCTGGCCAGTACCTGGATGGGAGACCTCCTGGGAAAAACTAAGGCTGCTGCTGGAAGAGGTGTTAGTGGGGCCAGCAGGGGGCGCTCACCCTGCAGTCCATGTGGGTCCTAATGCCCCAGTATAGTGACGGGGACACTATACTGTAAACAGGCGCCGTCCTTCGGATGAGACGTAAAACCGAGGTCCTGACTCTTTGGTCATTAAAAATCCCAGGGTGTTTCTCGAAAAGAGTAGGGGTGTAACCCCGGTGTCCTGGCCAAATTTCCCATTGGCCCTTACCAATCATGGCCTCCTAATAATCCCCACCTATGAATTGGCTTCATTACTCTGCTCTCTGCTCTCTGCTCTCTGCTCTCTGCTCTCTGCTCTCTGCTCTCCTCTCCACTGAGAGCTGATGTGTGGGGAGCGTTCTGGTGCACTATGGCTGCTGTCGCATCATCCAGGTGGGGCTGCACACTGGTGGTGGTGGAGGGGATCCCCATTACCTGTGAAAGCGCTTTGAGTGGAGTGTCCAGAAAAGTGCTATATAAGTGTAAGCAATTATAATTATTATTAAAGAGTAAGTGAAAACACAACGTATGTTTTTTATTTTAACATGTGCAAACATAAAATGTCCTAAAACAAAGCATTCCACTGTAATTATCATTCATAAGAAATTCATGATCACAATTTGAAACTGCCTGACATGAAAGAAATAAAAATAGATTTAGCTTTGCTGTACTAAATCTTCTGAAGGGCACTATATCACTGCAACTAATAGTTCTAAATTACTTTCATCTAGGAAGTAAGAGCACAGAACTCTACTCATCAGCACAGATCTCTTTGAATAAACTAAGGCAACAGGCTGGCCTGA